GCCTGGGAATAAAAAGAATCTGAGCTTGCCTCCCTCTCACACAATATTGTTCATATTCACCTGATTTACTGACAAAAAACACAGTGAGCCAATTTCCCTAGAAAAAAATGCATTTCAACCAGTTTTGCTGGACTACAAACTTCTAGTTGATGAATGAACCACAGGCTTAGTTTTTCCAACTTCTGCTGCCAGAATCATGAAATCCTTTAAAAAGACACGGGCTCTTCTTCATGGTCTTGAGAGGGGAAAACCAACAGAGCTTCAACCACGGTCAGTTCTGGCTGACCACACCATGCTGGTGACCAGCATTTGCAAGAAGCTCCCAAACTGAGACTGTACATGGCTCCTTGCAGTGCTTCTTGTTTCCCCAGCATCCAAGGGGAGGGAACAGATTGAACCCTACAGTAGCCATTCTCACTCCTGGGCCTACAACCAGCTTTCTTGTTAACCTTTCACTTGCTCAAAAATCTCGTCATCAGACTTACCCAGACAGGAATACTTTCTTTTTCTTTGCCATTGTTAATAGATAACTCTGTCATAGTAGTTAAAAAGGCATATGTGGTATGCGTCAGTAAGAGAAGGCAACACACATGGAAGACATGAAAATTCTTCCTTGCTTCTTTCTTCCCATCATCTAAAGAGTCTGGTTCTGGTTAGCCGAATATCAGGCAGAGTTTCAGAGAAACAACCAGCTGGGCTGAGGCATCACAGGAACACAGGGGTTCACTGCTCCACTTGCTGCTAGTGTGGAAGGCTCAGGGCTGGCAGCCAGTTAAGACAGCAAGACAAGCTCTGAGAAGGAGAAAGAAGCTGAGGGGGGAAATTGAGCACCATGGAGCCCACCATGCCTTGCTGCCCATTTCGATTGTAAATTCTGCTTTGAAACATAACTTCATGTTACACTTCTGAAATACAACGACTTTTCTAAGTCAGATCCTCTCCTAGAGCCAGCATTGTGACAGTGTCCTAACAATGGTTTTTAATCAAGTGGAGGCTGAGCACGCATGTAGGGAGCATATTTAAGAGAGATGCTGTAATGATACCAGAAAATTATAAACTTCAATGCAGTTTAGATCTGCATACTAATGAAGAGATGCCTATATGGGATTTGGGACAACTCAGTTCAAAAGAAATAAAAAATTGTCGATTTATTGCAGTGCAGAGTTTTATTATCCAATTACACAAAGTATTAAGCATCTCATCATAATTAAAGCATTTTTGTCCTTTATCTTGTATAGATTTTTTTTCTAAATTTAACCCTAACTCTTTTTGCTTTATGGTAATTCTCCTGGGAGTAATTACTAAATTTCCACAGCAGTAATTTGGGTAGCGTAAGAGCAGGTAACCTCAGCCTTGCTCTCCATCATAATGAAGATTTTGTCTACAAATGTACTTTTTCTCCTTCACATTATTTAAAATATGACACATGATCAATAATATGAAACTGCAGAAAACTTTCTCATATGATAATTCTATTGATTTTTAAAAGAAATAATTAAACTAACTGTTAAGACCAAGTTCATCAATACAATCTGACTCCTTTGTTCCCCCCTCCTGAGTAGGACAAATCGATCAGGGCCTCCTGGTTAACATAACCAGTTTCCTGAAGCTATTGCACTACTCTGACAACATACTGCATAGCCATTTTATACCCTGTTGTTGTCTCCTTGCTCTCGCATCCACCTGCACACATCCCCACAGCTCCAGATCACACCCTTTCCCTGAATCTTCTGATGTATTGTACATTCCCCAAAACCTCCACCTTCATTTTACAAGCTCCCTCAATTTGCCTCTTTCTACACCACAAGGTTCCTTTGCAAAATTCAATTTTAGGAAAGACATACTGTATTCTTCACAGATAACAGCATGCCAAATTGTGTCAAATGCCAAACTTCTTTCCACTTGGATGACAGAAGCATACCTGCAAATTAGCACCTCTGCTCAGACCATATGTTAACAACAGGATTTTACTACTAACTAGTTCTCTGCAAGGCAAAGCAGTCCCCTGGTAGAAGGTGAAATGGCAATGCTAAAAGCCTCCTGGGCTTCCTCTGAAAGCAAAGCAGCTTTTCCATAGGGATGGCTGGCTTTCATTTTCTCTTACTCTGATGCCCTTAAGACCTGTGCCACAGTCGCAGTAAAATCTCTCCCCAAGTGAACTTGCATATACCTCAATTCCCCTTTTGCATCCAGTGATCGTACCAACGCCCTCATCAAGCAGCTGCTGACTTGTGCTGCCACGGAGAGCTGCTCCTGCACCCAAGTGGTTGGAGTGAGGAATCTCTTCTATGACAGAGTCAGGCTGTAAACCTGGCAGTATGGGATTGGCAAGTGGGGAGGTACACACAGGTACCTGCAGCCAGAGAAGGGACTCTTTAGAGTTTCTTGATGAAGGTCATGTAAAATGTTCGTGGATTTCACTGTATTCAAGGGTACGCTGCGGCATGTGTGAACGTCCCAGATGATACTCTGGTTATCCACCTCTGCAGTAAGTGAAAAAAAGCCTTCAAAAATTCAGGTTGATAAGACTCAAATTTAATACAATCTGCAAAATGCACTCTTCTTTACATGGAACAACAGATTCAAAACATTAGCAGCAACTTATGCTGCAGAAACAGCTGAATGATGTGGCAGAACTACAGAATCTGGAGCAATGCACAGCCCAAATCAGACACACGTGGCACAGTGGGGCACAGCAGCCCTAGCAAATCCATTACTCCCCACTCAGCAGAGTCACAAACGCTTCTTTACTGAGAAACATTCATCCACAACATTCCTAAGATCTACTGGTGTTTGCAAGTTGCAAGATTTTCCTGAGAGGAGTAGGAACTAGTGCGTGCCTCCATTTGACAATGTTATTTCAAGTCCAAGACAGGTTACAGATAATTTATAAATTCCCCTGGAAAATAATAGTCTTTCTGGAGGTGTTTCTAGCTATTCAGTAGCCATGTATCTTGATGGCTTGAAAAACTGCTTTCTACAAATTGTTTTATTTTAAAAATAAGTTTTAAATATGTATTTCAAAGTGTTATTTACAGTAAGTACAATTATTAACTCGGCTAGGTAAATGGGCAGACATGCAGATCAGCACACGCATGTAGCTCTCAGTTAGTTATTTTAAGTTGCTCACGTAATTCCAAAATCCAATATTTTTCTCAGTTCACATGGCTCTAACAGGTGTAACTGACACCACAAATGTGTTACAGATCAGAACATCAGAAGTATTCATCAGTTCTGTGTCCACACTTAACATGCCTTCCTGCTAACGATTTACGCTGTAATGCATGAGCACCAAGCAGATTCCATCAGCAGATTCTCTTAACCAGGCGAAATGTGATATACCAAACTCTGTAAAAGCAGTTACTTTTCATCATGTTTAAAAACCAAAACTATGGCAGGTCTTGGCTGCCTTTCAAGTGCCCAATTCAAACCCTGGGCACCCTGGTGCATGCACCCAGCTTCCACTAAAAGCAATGACAGCTGAAAGACACTGTCCATTTGGCCTTCACTAAGTGAAATGAAACACTGAAAAGAATAAAGAAGCAAAAGAGCACCCACCGCCCACCCTGATTTTGCTCGAGGTTACATAGCAAACAGAGCGAGAGGTTGACCTCAGGAACCCCGACTAGGTCCACATGCTTCTGACTACATTCACTGTGAGGAATTAGGGCAAACTTGGGAAGAGGCAGTGACGCTGATTAGAAAGCAAAATGGATTAGGAAGCAGTGACGTTATAGTGGGGCAAAGATACATGAAGAGAAAAGAAAACGAAAGAAAATTGAGAATAAGAGGTGAAAAATACTGAAAGCTACCATCAGAAAGGAAGTATGATGTGACGCAACAGCAAGCATAAACAACAGGACATGCACTGATGAGAGGCATTTTTCAGACATGTTAAATAGCTGATTGTCAAAATATTTTTAATGAACAAACAGCTTCCATGTTTGCCTCTAAGAAGTGTATTTACTACTGTAAACATTGGCCTGTGTTTCAGGCTGATGTTAAGGAAAGACAACTCTTCCCTTTCTCGTCATCTATCATAGCCCCTAATCATACTTGCAGCTGCCTCAAAAACATTATCACTGAGCATTAGTTACTGACTGCACTTGGCAAAACCCAAAAGGCAGCTGTGATCATGCCCACAGAGTTTTGAAAAAAGAGAATTACTTTAAATTCCATATAAAATCCATAGAAAGACTCAAGACTTGCCATAGGGCAGAGTCTTCAAAAATACACTGCTGAAGTTGCTGGCACTTACAGCATAAACCAGAAAGATGCTGTGAGCGTCCCAGAATTGGACACCTCACGTCTAGGTGACAACCAGCAGCTCACCAGTGGAGTGCAGCACAGTAAACACTGCCCTGCTCCCAGGGTAGAGGTGGGCTCAAAATAGGAGACACGTGGAACAAAAAGAAAGAAATGTGGAAGACAACAAGAATGGGTATGTCCAACCTTCTGAGTCCTATCTGTCTTTTCTGAAATTACCAAACACTCCAGCAAGCTGCAAGACCAGACAAGATAGTTTTCCCTACTGCTGGCCTATTTGGCATATGCCTGCACAAGGCCCAAACACATCCTTACATTTAAAATAGTAGAAGTGTTCTCCACAGGCTTCAGATAAAACTACCTCCCAACCAAATCCATCTTCCTGACTACCTAAACCCTTCCTTCCAGGGCTCTACAAAAATCAAAGCTGTCTGACACACTTTATGCCCCCAAAACAGCATTTATCAAAGCTTCATTTTAAAAATATATTGTGAAACTACTGCTGAAGGGGAAAAAACGGGGCCCCAGTCTCAGCAGCTGCACCTATGCACTTGAGGAGGGACCAGGCAGAAGCTCTGCTGGTGGCACTGATAAAATTCATCCCTCCAAGGACACCAGAACTGGATCTGCACAGCAGAGGGATGAATCTACCCCCATGTCCTACAACAGCTCAGCATCAGCACTAATCAAATCAGAAGGAAAATTCCCACAGAAAAGGTTGCTCTGCTTTTTCACCCAGTCCCAGTCTTGGAAACAGCCATCACCCTCCATCACTTGACAACTACAAGGATATGCATCCCTGGAGCCCTTCTCCTCCCAAAGAGGATGAAAGAGGCAGAGAAGGGGCATCATGACTTGCGGCAACAGATCTGCTCAATGTCGTAGATCTCCTTGGGACAGTCAGCAGACAAGATGAGAGGTGCATCCTCTGTTACCAGAACATCATCCTCAATGCGCACACCAATGCCACGAAACCTCTCTGGGGCACTCATGTCATCCTCAGGAACATAAATGCCTGAAAGAAGAAAGGGAATTAAAACACACAACACTCTCCAGAGTAATACCTTTCCCTTACTGCACAACTATGAGAGCAGGGTTGGATTTTCAGCAACATGAGTCTGATCCCTAAGGAAAGGAAAGCTGCTCTTTCCCCTCATTCACGGCAGTTGGTGGGCAAAGAAAGGAAAGTGCTCCTCAGTACCTACAGGCATGTTAATAGAAACTTTCACAATTATAGCTGGCCTTTCTGCACTTCTTGCTCTCTATGCTATGTTCACAGTGATGATTATAACAATGTTCTGAACAGAGAGAAAGAGAAGAGCCAAGCATTAAATATCAGATTCCAGCTGACAGATCCAAATCCAGTGACAAGCAAAAAGATTCAATGTGAAATGCTTAATCTGCAAAGCTAAGTTGTGAATGCCTGTAATTGCAGACTGCAATGCTTGAAACTTACACTACCAGTGACTGGTAGTAGTTCAGTAAAGTAACACAAACCACAGCACAAGTGAATTGACCCTGCTTCTCTGCACTCTGATTGACCCATGCTGCCGTGGGTCAAACACTAACAGTCTGAGGTCTACATTACTCTCTTCCTGCTGCACAGACACAGTTCGTCACCTTGGCTGTGTCTGGGAGGGAAATCGGGTTTTCTAATACGATACTGACTTTGGGAGGGGAATAACTTCAGGTTTTCCAATAGTATAATTATTTTCAATTTCACCAGAAAGGACCTGAATGCTTTGGTCAGAGGAACCACCTAACTACTGAAAGCAGTATTGCCACCCTCAGTGTTGCGTGTTTTTGTCCACCACTGACTATCTTTTTACCTGGTTCAACAGTTATCACCATGCCTGGCTGGAGCGGGAGTGATCGGGATATATCTGGGGTATCATGAACATCCATGCCCAAGTAATGGCCCACATGATGTGGGCAGTATTTTCGAACCGCCTGGCAGAAGACAAAACAAGTGTCACAGAGGTAGTTAAACACAGCCCAACCTGTTGTTCCTATACAAAAGATGGGGGAAAAAGACAGAATAGTTATGTGCTCAATTAGCAATCTTATTGCCATGACTAGTTACAAGGGCCTGCCTTCCATTTACTGCACCTGGATGGCCCTCAAAATCTACCAGTACCAGGTGCCTATTGCAGTCTGCCTCTCCTCCTCACTGAATAGAACAGCCCAAGCCCATCACCACCTCAGCATGTCAGTCAAGGCTTTAGTTTTCTGCCCCAACCCTTTCCATCCCTTAAACATCCTAGCTCTGCACTGCTCCCATCAGCAGACCCTGGCAACTGGCAGTAGCTGACACAGTTGCTAGGTGATGTGGCAAAGAGGTCTCCTATGCACAACAGAGCAGATGCTGTGCTGATTTCACTCCATAGCTACAGCAGGATTTTAATTCACCTCTATAGGACACAGACAACACCCTCCCCACCCCCTGCCACCCAAATTCCCCTCCCTCCAGAGAGGAGCTCCTTGACAGCAGGCATACGAGCTACTTCCTCCT